CCCCAAAACCCCAAAACCCCAAAACCCCAATTTCAAGGATTATAATTGAAAAATTATTGATTATTCATCCTCTGCTCTAAATACCGAGTTTTACTTTTTTGAAGGGTTATTTCAGCTCCCATATTGTTGATGACTCCATTAAATAACTGCATATTCTTGTTATTTTCAGCAACAAATTTTGAAAATGTTTCAGTTAAAGTGTTCATTGCCATCTTTAGTTCATTGTATTGGCCAACAAGTTTCTGGTGCTCCTCCATAGTGACATATTTCTCTTTGTCTCTCTGCTCAAAGTGAGGTGTTGGGAAATCAGAATCAGAAGTCAGCATTGAGGGAACATCCTTCTTGGTTTGGCTTAGATTTACAGCAGTGTGTTCACTAAAATTGCTATCTCAATCATCTGGGTCCATTTGAGGTCTGAAATTATTAACCTGGTCATAGGGATTGGCTATCTTTATCTCATTATCAGTGTTAATTTTATGCTTCCTTCTACTTCTGCTTCTTTTTGATTTAATACTCCTTCTTTCAGGGAGTTCAGAAGGTTCTGGAGGTGCAGAGTGGAGTTTATCAGTAGAAACCTTGTTGCTTTGTGAAGCGGTCACCATTGGATGGTACTTGTGATGAGCAGCTGATAAAGGAATATTACTGCTTTCTTTAATATAATGTTTATAATCCATCGATGCATTTGGGTTTATATTTTCCTTACTATTCTCATGATGGCCTATTGGACGAATTAGAAGCTGACTTACTCATCTTTGGTGGTTTAGGTGGAAAACAGTAGCTCTGATTAGACTTTGGATTATGATATTGATTAGAATTTTTCTGTTGATAGCCAAAATATCCTTTTTCTTCTTCATGGTTCTTCTTAAAATTCTTTATTGACTCTTTCATTTCGACCTTAGTTGGATGTTTTAGAGATGAACTTCTTTCTTTGAATATCCCTTTTGCATCAATTCCATGATTAACTCTTGGTGCTGGTTTGGGCTTCTGAGGAACCTTGGCTTTTAAGGACTTTTTGACATGGTCTATTATTTCGCATACATAATGTCATTTTTGATCAACAAATTTCTCGGAAAAGAATTGCTTTATGTTTACTGGAGGTTTGAATTGAAAGAGGTTTAATCATATTTTTTCAACATCTTCCATGAATTTTAAGTCTGCTTTGCCATAAATATTGTAGCCTTTATCGAGCAGCATATCCGCCATTTCAGGGGAGAAATCAAGGAGGATGTAGTTAATAATTGGCAAATAAACTGAAGGTTTTCCTTTCTTGAGGTCATCAATCTTTAGTTCAAATGGAGGCTTGATTTTACGGAGCTTTTCTATCAGTTTTCTGAAATTGTTGCTCTAAATTATTAGGGAGACAGAATACTTGTTCTATACTCATATTGGCGGAATTTTTATTTAAATTATTCTATAATCAAATTATTTTTAGGGGTTTTGGGGTTTTGGGGTTTTGGGGTTTTGGGG